CTATCAAAGAAAGGTAGCAGCCTTATAGCATAGTTCTTGTATGGAACCAAGTTGGCCTGACGAGTTTCCCATTCTCCTTTGATTTGATTAACAACCAGCGATGAATCGCCATATACATAGAGATTCTTGATCCTCAGATCAATGGCCTCTTTTAAACCCATAATGCACGCTTCGTATTCTGCTTCAATATTAGTGCAAGCAAACGTCAACCGGACGGTGAACGGTATATGAGAACTATGAGAAGTTGTAATGATTTCCCCGATTTCGCTGCCATATGAGTTAACAACATCGTCAAAAACCAACTTCCATTGAGATCCAATCTCAGGACCCTCGTCAGGTAAAGGCTCACGCAGTCCTTCATCTTCAGGAACATGACATCTTCATCTAGAAATTCAAACTTCATCGGCTGATACTCCTCAATAGATTGTTGAGCAAGATATTCTGACAAAACACTTCCCTTGATGGCTTTTTGGGAAACATACTGAATATCGTACTCTGTCAAAACCATTTTCCATCGGGAAATCCTTCTAGAGAGTGCTTGCTTTTCAAACACGTACTTGATCGGATCCATCTTTGAAATCAAAGGGTTGTATGGTTTAACATGTACTGTCTCAAACGCTTAGCCGCCCAAGTGAGTGCACAACATGTTTTTTCCAGCATCGAGTACCTCGACTCACAATCAGTGAATTTCTTACTCAGGTAGTAGATAATGTGCTCTTTTTTACCTGTCTTGTCCTGTTGACCGAGCACACATCCCATTGAATTCTCAAGAACCGTGAGATACATGATTAGAGGTCTCCCTGCTACTAGAGGTATGAGTATTGGAGATTCCTGTAAATACCCTTTTCTTTTATTTTCTCAAACGCCATTTGGAAATTTTTGTTCCACCTGACCACTTGATCTTTTCTTAACAATTTGAATATTGGTTCGTAAGTGGCTGTAAGATGAGATATGAACCTTGCAACGTAGTTCAATCTCCCTAGGAAACCACTAACCTCTTTTTCCGTCCTCGTCTCAGGCATTTCTTGTATAGCTTTTATTTTGGTAGGATCTAACTCAATGCCCCTTTCACTGACAATGAACCCCAATAGCTTTCCAGATCTCACCCCGAAGGTGCACTTGTTAGGATTCAGCCTTAACTTGAATTTCCTCAACCTTTCAAACAACTTTAGAAGATTGACCAGATGTCCTTCCTCCGTTTGTGACTTCGCGATCATGTCATCAACATAGACCTCAATCTCTTGATGAATCATCGCTCGCTGATAAGTTTCCCCAACATTCTTCAATCCAAAGGGCATCGCCTTGTAGCAAAAAGTCCCCCACGGTGTAATGAAAGTAGGTTTATCCATGTCCTCTAGGGCCATCTTGATTTGATTATACCCAGAGAAGTCATCCATGAAGGAAAACACATAATATTGAGCGGTGTTATCAAACAACACGTCAATGTTATCGTCTTTCGAGCTTGTTCTGTTCAGATCTCTGTAATTAACACATATCCCGACCTTTCCATCTTTCTTAGGCACATGAACAATGTTAGCAACCCACGAAGGGTAGTTTGTGACAGCAAGAAAACCAATGTTCAACTACTTTTGAACTTCTTTAATCTTGACTGCCATGTCAGACCTTGTCCTTCTCAATTTCTATTTGACTGGCGGACATTCCTCTCATAGAGGCAAACAGTGTACCACAATATCTATATCCAGCTCGGGCATGTCTTGATAAGACCAAGCGAAAATATCCTTATACTCACGGAGCATTTCAACCAATCTTCTCTTGACACTATCTTCCAAAGCAGCCCAAATTCTGATTTTTTTCTTGTCGTCTTCAGTACCCAAATTGATGGCTTCAATATCCTTCTGATGGGCACAGTGACCATTTCCTATTGCTTCAAAAGTCTGGCTAACTCTTCGGATAGTTCACAGTCTTCATCAGTCTCTTCTTCAACTTGATAAATGGGATTATCAAAGTCATACTGTCATACCCCAATGTCCTACTTGTTTCATACAAATAAGTATGTTATTTGGTGATCTTTCTTTTGATGATCACCTGGCCTTTAGCCATGATCCTCTAAAGATAGTTCATGGAAATCTTGGTTATGCTTACTTTGATTATAGGTTTTATGGTTTTTTCCTTTATAATCTTTCATTGTATGCGTGTTAGGATTAGTGGGAAATAAAGGAAGGTGTTAACTTCATTCATGATTGATGTATAGTTAAGAAAACTCAAGGGTAAGATGGTTAAGGTGGTGTGGAGATTAAGAAGCATATGGAAAGGATAAGTTTATTTGGTTCCTTTTTTGCAAGGCATTTGAGTAGCGTGGTTTAAAAGTAAGTACAAAGTTAAACTTCTTAAGATATACTACCTTGTATTATTCTACTTTTTCATGAAAAGCAAAGCTAAGTTACAAAGCTCAAGAACATGTTTGGTACAAAAGAGTTAGAATTGTACACGAGAAAGCCATTTTCATTTGTTAGATTCAAAGCATAATTAGAACAAAGCTTCAAATTCAAATTAATCAAGAAGTACAAAAGTGGAATTGCAAGGTCTTAAAAGAATCACAAAACAAGTACAAGAATTCCAGATGACAAATTCAAAGTAGATTTCAAGTTGTTGCCAAGGTGATTAATTATATCCAAATATTTGAAGTTACATAAGGAATAAAGATTCATCACAAGAGAATTACTTGAAATTACAAGTTGATTGATGCAAAGCCTATAAGTTCTTGCTAGCTATGCCTAAGAGATCAAGTTTTCGAGTTTTCATACTTCACTCTTCAAGCCTAAGAGCATCCTTGAAGTTTTTCTTCTTCGTGTCCAAGTTACTTCCTCATTTTCGTTCAAAGTTTCATCCAAACTCCATGATTAGCCTTTGTATTTCATGCTACATTATCACCTTTTCCCCTTGCGAACTCAAGTGCATACCTACATAACACAAAAAAGGACATTAGTATCTCATTCTAACGCATCATAAACATTGACATCATGAAGTTAAGTTGCAACCAAGCTAACCTCGTCTGCAGATTCTTCACGCATAAGCCATAACCTCAAAGTCTTTTTTTTTCCTTACTCCACCAAGCATCTAACCAACATGTCCAGCTCAATACATACAAGAAAAAGAGAAATGAACGAGCTCTTAGCAGGACAAACAACAAGTACACAATGCAAGAACAAGTTCTAAGGTGAAGGTCATTCAAATACAAAGTGATAATCAAATTCACAAATCCAAGCTCTAAGCACGACACCAAGTTGCTCCCAAAATGTGTACACGAAACAAGCAATGTAAGCCACGATTAAATGAAGCATACAACTGTTTATTTCATAGAGAAATGATAAAGATCACAACAAGCAGTAAAAATAAGCATGAATAATGCAGTAAAAATTGGTTGAGGCAAGTTAGGCAATGATTTCAAGGAGAAGAAATTCACAAATTGGACCTATAACAAATATTATGCTGATATTACTAAGGTATTACCAATGTGTTACTTTCAAGTTTAACCATCAATACAAGTTGCATTTGATTCCCATGCCTTGAACCAATATCCAACTCCATAGGCAGCTACGAGTTCTTCCTCCTCATGCCTAGGACCAAGCTTTTCTTACTATGCTCCCAAGCAACCAAATTCTCACTCCATATCCTTGTACAAAACTTGTGTGAGCATCATGCCAAGGTAGTACATGAAAAACCAAAATAAATCAAGGGCCGGTACATAATGTAAGAATAAGTTCATTCTATAAAGGAAATTCTTGGCAAAGCATTACATGAGCATAAGTATCAAAAGGCCAAACATAAAAATGCATTACAATGTTAGATGTTATAATTCAAGTTACACAAAAATTATTTCATCCAAGTATTCACATGAGCACATATTGAAAATTGCAAGGATTTAATAGTGGTAAAAAACAAAGTTACTGCAAACAAATTCAATTTTCAGCAACAAGTTTTCAAGAGGGTCCATATGTTCTAGAAGGGTTTTAGCCTTAAGGCTTGTATAACATCCTATTACTATATTGTTATGTTATTTTATAATTCATCTGCGAACAAATACACAATACATTTTAAAAGTAACCTGTTCTGAAACACTTCAGAGATGTATCTCTGGAAATTTTCCGTAAGTGCATCTCCAAACAAATTCAAATGGAAATGGGCTATGAGAGATATGTTGTAACCGTTTAAGGTTTAATTTGTTTCGGAGATATATCTCCTAAATATTATTAATCCATGGGACGCGTCCGGAGATATATCTTCAGAATATGGGGGCATTTGTGAAAAATCATATGGTGGGAAAGAAACCCATTGGGTGGGATAAGAAATTTCCTATAATTATTGCATGGTTAAGGAGAAATATAATATGATTTTTCATTGTAGAAATTGAGGTTCCTAAAATGAATAAACATCAGAAATTGTTTAACTAATTTATTTAATAAAATGATGATAATTGAGGTACACCATCCAAAACATACATATAATGCTCGTTTTTATTGTTATTGCCCCAACACTCCATTGTGTTTTATCATTGGCATAAATTTTATGTTATATCATCTACTCTAATTCATTGGATATTTTAGATGCATTGTGTTATTAATGCACCTCCATAATTATTTTGTTTCTCTTAGATTGTTATAAATCCTCATTTCATTTAAATATTATATCGACCAACCTCCTTCATACCATACATATATTGGCACAAATATTCTATTGCCTCACCTTTGGATGAACCAAATCAATTAATTTTCTAACTTGTCTTAAACCATATCATTTATTTCCACTCAATTGAAGATTTATACATGTATATTATTTTTAGATTTCAAAAGATATTATAATTAAACTTAACTTACTATGATATAAAATTCATTATAAATAAATGAAGGAAAATGAGCTAACATAAAAAATCAAAACTTCATTCTGCCCACAAAATCATTAATTTCAATAAATCTAAAGATTTTACAATCAAACAGTACTGATCCATGATATTTTTAATTTTATGTTATAATTAAACACTATTATACCATCGAAGAAAGTTTTTCATATGCAATGTTTGCAAAAGAAACAACCATCAAAGTTATTGAGTCTGACGCCACCATGGGGGACATCACGCTCCCCCCAAACGTACGTCCCTTTGGTCCTGATAAGTAAACTGTCAGTCCTCCAACAGCTCCTGATGTTGGGGGTGGGAAAATTGTACCAGATATTGAATGAATTTGCAACCTTCCCTTAACAGTTAAAACTTTCCCCGTTGGTTGACGAAGCCTGATATACGCCACCACTCCATTTCCCCCGAGGATGCAGATGCTCCTCCCTTTACGATGAGTGTAATCAAAGAGACTCTTTAAAACATCAGCACCGGTTGTGATCTCAAGAACATGAGAAGTTAGTGCATCATAATTGCCATGTGCGACTATGGCAGGAATCTTAGGCTTATTTTTGGAGCCAAGAGGACGCCCGCGGGGACGACGAGCAATGGTGGAGGATTGTATGTGATGTTGGTTTTCTGTGGTGGTATCAGTGACCGGTGTTTGTAATTGCAATTGTGGTGTCGTGAATGGATGGAGCTTGTGGTTTCTCTCATCATCATGAGTAGACATTCTCTCTTATTTTGCACTCGCTTTTTCTTGTTTGTCTTGTTTTGCCTAGCCTTTCCACCTTTTAATACTAGTGGTGAGGGACTTAAGATTGATATTTTGATATTATTATTTAAGATTAAAAATTATATTATTTTGTTTTTTGAGGAGGAAATTGTAGAATGATAACATTTTCAATAAACTATGATGACCAAAGAAAAAAACGTGTTATGTTACTCTCTCTCACACCATCCACGAGATTCATTCACATCATAATTCAATTCTTTTATTATATTTAATTACTTTATTTGACCAAAACAACTCACCACCTAAAAAAAATAAACTAAATCACTGCATCAATTAATTTCATATTTAAATTAATTTGATTAATTTAATTATTGTATTAATTTATTTAATAGAATTTCAAAAAAAAAAAGTATATACACAATTTTTAACATTAAGAATATAATTTGTTTTTTTTCCTGTTAAATATTAACATATGTATTATGTAGTGGAACCAGAATTAAGCGATAAGTGCAAAGGCAGAGCTTTTTATTCGGTGAAGTAGAGGGCTGACATGCAAGGTTAGCACTCTGATACTCAAATCAGTAAGAGAATGAAAAGTGGTGTATGAATGAGATTGAATTTGAATAATAGAGAAATTTCATGTTTTCCCTCTTAAATAGAAGAAACTGGTAGCAACTGAAAGCGAGGAGTGAGGTGTGGATCGATCAGCTATCAGGTGGTTCTCTAAAACATATATAAATCTTTTCCTCAAATCCCTCTCACAACATACACACTCACTTTATAATTTATAACTCATAACCAATATTTTAAAAACGGAAGCTTGGAACAACATTCTTGAAGCTGAAAGAATAAAGTGGAAGTCGAGTAAAGATTTTACAAAAATTTAGTGTCAGAAGTCGTGTATAGTCAAACATGATTTGGATTGTAGATCTTTATTTTCAGCATTATTCACATCGTGATTTTACTAAACGAACCAATGTAAATTTTTTAAAATCATAGTGGAAGAACAACAAATTTAAAATTGGTGAATATTGGAGAGTGGAGTAGGTATAAGTGAGGACGAATTTCCGAACCACTATAAATTTGACTTACTTTCTCTCTCTCTCTCTCTCTCTCTCTCTCTCTCTCTCTCTCTCTCTCTCTCTCTCTCTCTCTCTCTCTCTCTCTCTCTCTCTCTCTCTCTCTCTCTCTCTCTCTCTCTCTCTCTCTCTCTCTTTCTCTCTTCTCTCTCTCTCTCTCTCTCTCTCTCTCTCTCTCTCTCTCTCTCTCTCTCTCTCTCTCTCTCTCTCTCTCTCTCTCTCTCTCTCTCTCTCTCTCTCTCTCTCTCTCTCTCTCTCTCTCTCTCTCTCTCTCTCTCTCTCTCTCTCTCTCTCTCTCTCTCTCTAATGTTAGATTCCTTGCTCAATTAAAAAGACCCGCTTTACATACCATGCGTAAAACAATTTTGACTTAATTGTGACATTTTTAGCATTGGTATTTTTCTTCTATCTTCAATTCTATGTTTCAAATCAAGTGTTGACTATGTTCCATCCAAAAATCATATACATGTTGTACGTAAAATTTTGCCAACACAAAACAAATTTTCAAACTTTAATTTACGAAAGTAATTTTTGAATTGATCTATTTTCTAGGAAGATATATTCAACCTCCTTCTAGACCATTCAAATTTATATTGTCCCCCAGCAATTGGCCTTAGATCGGGTCTTTTGATCAAGTCTCACGACTCCAAAAGTTGAGAATATGGGTAACGATGATCCATAGGGAGCATACTATAAAGCCCCAATTTTCAAAGGTGGAAACTATGCTTATTAGAAGGAAAATATGTACATTCACTTAATGTCAGTAGAAAAAATGCTTTAGGTGGCTATCACAGATGGATATTTTATTCCTAAAATTGAAGTTGATGGCATTTTTACTGAAAAACACCTAAAGGATTGGACAAATGATGAAACTAAAAAAGACATCTTACGACTTTAAGGCGAGGAATATACTCATTTATGCTTGAAGTACAAAAGTATATTACTCAATCTCACATCATTAGACTGCACATTCAATATGGAATGATCTTCAAATGCTCCATGAGGGTATTGGAGATGTTAAGGAATCTAAAATTAACATGTTAGTAGCGGAGTGTGAACTATTTTGTATGGAATCTAATGAAATTGTGGAATCCATGCATACATGTTTCGTTCACTTAATTAGTAAGGTATAAAATTTGGGAAAATCTATTCCTAGCAAAGATTGTTATAACAAAATTTTGATACCAATGTGTAGAGAATGATAACCTAAGGTAACAACCATTAAGGGATCACATGATCTGAAATCTTTGGATGTTTCAACCTTATTCGAAAAAATAATTAAACATGAAAATAAATTAAGAAGGCTCGTTACAAGCAAAAGTAAATACCAAGAAGAAAGATAAAGTGAAAGAAGAGAAAATCGACAACTCCTTGAAATCCCCCTCGTCCAAGGCAAGGAAAGTAAAGGAAGACGACGAAAGATTCTTCCAAAGAGGAAGAGGTGGGGTAATTTGTCAAGTGCTACAATTAATACATAAAGAAGCATCGGCTCAAGCACTCCAACAAAAATGTGATTAAATTTAACAAATATCCTCCGTATAAGATAGAAGAAAAGAAAAAGAAAGAAAAAGTTTTATGCTATGAATTTACAACATGTCCAAGCCTCAACAAGCGTAACAATAAAAAAGATAAAGACAACTACAAGACAAATGGTAATACTACCAAAGGTTGTAGGGCTTATATCATTGGGGAAGACAAAGATGAGAGTTATTGTTCATCTTCTAGTTCGAGCTCATATGATGAATGTGCAAATTTATGATTGATGATGCACAAAAAGAATAAAGACTCAAAGATATATGATTATAACTTTGATTTTAAACTAGCTTACAATCTATTGTCAAAAGCATTTAGAGAAATGCATGTTGATGCCTTAGGCGTATTTAATAAAATCTCTCATCAAATAAAAATTATTTTAAAACTTGAGAAATATATTTGTGATCTTAATACTGCCTTATAATCCTTAAAGGAAGCTCATGCATCTCTCATAAGCAAACAATTATGTATTTCAGATAACTTAGTTGAAAGGGTAGTTAAAATGGAATGTAACACTTGTATGGATTTGAAAATTGAAAATGAAAATCTAAAATAAAAATTGGCACATGTCTTTTCACTATCTTATGTTGTTTCCATTTTTCAAGTGATAGAAGGAACATTTTTAAGAAAAACCCTCACTTCACTAGAAAAGATAGAAAGAATGTTTCATCTAAAATAACTTGTCATTACGTTAGGAATATCAAAGTTCCTAATATTATTATGTTATAGATACCTAAGTGATATCTTACTACCCCCCAAACCCACTAGTCGGCCAATTAAATTTATGGTTTCACTTCTTATAGGATGATCTTTCCTCAAAAAAGGATGTGGTTCATAGATAGAAGATGCTCAAGAAATATGACGCAAGACACTTTAATGTTTATCAAGTTTGATCACAAAGAACATAGTCACGTTACATATGGAGACAATAATAAAGGTAAAACTCTAGGAGAATGCAATGTCAGAAATCCCTCCACAATTAACATAAATGGTGTTTTATTTGTTAAAGGGCTTCTACACAACTTATTAAGCATTAATTAATTGTGTGAAAAGGGTTATTTAATTACTTTTTATACTGAGTTACCTAATTGAACATAAGCCTAGTAAGAGTCTTGTGTTTAAAAGTTCTAGAGTCGATATATCTATTTGCTAGACCTAGATGATGTGTCAAGGTACATTACTAAATGTTTGGTCACCAAGAATGAATGTTCATGGTTATGGAACACACGTTTAGAACACCTACACTTTGGCTTGATAAATATGATACTATCCAAAAACCTAGTAGTTTTCCTACCTAACATAAAATTTTCAAAATATAATCTTTGAGTTTCTTGCCAAATGGGAAAGAAAACAAGAGTTTCTTTTAAACCTAAATATGTTGTTTCAAATTCAAAACCTTCTAAGCTTCTCCATATGGATCTTTTTGGCTCTTAAAGGACAAAAAAGTCTAGACAATAACTATTTTAACTTTTTATCGTAGATGAGTATTCTAGATTTACCTGGACGTTATTCATAGTCCATAATGAAGAGACCTTTAAAGATTTTGTTAAGTTTTATAAGCTTGTCCAAAACCTTTTTAATTTGAAAATTATCATTCTTATAAGTGATCGCGAGAGCGAGTTTGTAAACTATCAGTTCAAAAAAATTTGGCAAAAAAATGGGATAACTCATAAATTTTTTTGTCCGCTTACTCCACAACAAATGGTGTTCTTGAGCTAAAAAAAACATGTTTTATAAGAATTGGCCCGGATAATGACTAATGAAATGATTTTACTTAAGTAATTTTGGATGGATGCGATTAACACCACATACCTTGTCTTAAATAGGGTGATCATTTGATCTATCCTAAAGAAAACATCCTATGAGCTACTTAAACACAGGAAACCTAATATTTCCTAATTTTGCTTTTTTCGCCATAATGCTTTATTTTAAATAGATGTAAGGACAAACTTGGTAAATTTGATGCAAAGTCTGATGAAAGAATTTTTCTAGAATACTAGCCATCCAGTAAGCATATAGAGTTTTCAACAATAGAACATCTACTATTGAAAAGTAAATTCATGTTTCTTTTGATGAGACAAAACCCCAAAAAACAGGGAAAGATAGTCTTTTTGGTTTTGATGTTTCAGGAGTAATAACACAAGAATTGGCCAATGATGACACTTCCAAAGAGGATCCTTTGAAATATGAGTACATTAAGAATGATAAAGAGGATAAAAAACACAAGGAAGAAAAACAAGAGACCTCAACTAAGTTGTCTCAATAATGGATTGTTGCAAAGGACAACCATTTAGGCCACATACTTGGAGATACCAAAAAAGGAGTAAGTACTAGATATCAAGTTAATAATTCATGTAAGTATGTTGCTTTAATTTCTCAAATTGA